TAGGGAAACATAGCTGTCAAATTACATGGAAATGAGATCGGTGCATAGCTGAATGATGATTATGATTTTTGATTTGCATCCTTAGTACTAAGAAGGAGCTACACTGTTATCATGTTTAATGTAAACTGGATTCAGCCAGCCTAAACAAAATTGAACGAATACGCCATACAGTTAACTCCTTACTGCATATATGGATTCTCTTGAGATTGTTTTAGCAATTGGAAGGTTAAGCTTCTCCAAAAATAGAGCAAGTTGTTATTAATATCCAGAATACAATTCCATTCCAGCTTCTTAAGTTTCAGTACATGTACTGGTAATAATAGCTTTCGACGAGATATTTCTTAACATCAGTACAGTACAGGGACTTATGAGGTAATCATTTGTCTATCAGGCCACATTAGCATATGAGTGTTTTATAACTTTGTTAAAAATAATATTGGTAGACAGAAGTCATTCCTTTCTCTTTTCTCAATAACTGCACTCAGAAATTCCTTTCTGTCTCATTCTCCTCAATCAGGGACGTGCGTTTCGTACACTTTGGTACTCTTCAACTAGATTTAACTGCCTTCAAATGAGCGGTAACTCTGTGACTTTTGAAGCTATCGGTTCAGTTCCAAGTGGGAAAGACATTGCTGACTGGGAGGCACGTGCATGTAGCTGACCAGCCCCAAATAAGAGGAAATGCGCGTCTTGGATTTCACCGCTATCCACTATTCATCAATAATATAAAGCTGAAACATAGGCAGCATTGGAACATTTTCGCAGGAGCACATATACCAACAGAGACCAATCAGTTTGGTCCATTCAACCATAGGATAATACAAGTAACATCATATCTATCTTCTTTGAGAATCGAAGTGCATCAAGGGGGTAACAGAGTAGAGTAATTTTCAGTTAAGTAGAAGGAATTAGTAGCAAGCCTCGGAAGTAGGCTCCATGCAAGAAACAAGAAACATGCACTTCTGAAGCAGAATTTTAAGCACTAAATACAGTTTAGTTTATGAAGTATCAGTACTATTCACACAATTAAAATGTAACAAGTGACTGACAGACTGAATGGTTATGAACAAGACAATGGTATTTCGGTTATTTTCATAAGAATAAAATCACACTTCATCCGAAATTCTACTCATCGTAAAATGTTCCCACATTAATTAGACCTCATTTCTAGTGATAGAATATGCACAATTTAGCGAAGTTCTCTCATATTTTTTGTCATGCTATCCGTCATAAATGATGAATTGGTTCTATTGAGTTTGAGAAACTATTCAAAATCGAAGAGTTATACTGGACTAATATTTTATTTCGCTATAGTCTGTAGAATAGGCCACTAGCACTGGCGTTAAGTATCTCTGGTTACTCCACCGTCCTAGAATCTAAGATCGTCAGTGTCCTGCTACTTAACATTCGATATGTTAAGTAACTGTAAATACGGTGAATAATGAACTTGCGAAAACGCAACATCTGATCTGTGACCTCCAGTTACAGTAAAATATATCGTCCACGTAACAAACTTATGAAATTACCAAGTGCACTCTTTCACTAGATATTTAATAATGGTAATCATACCATAAGTTTTACATTTTGTATTACCTAGTTTTATTCCCATAGTCAATCTGGATGGTTTACTTAAGAAATTTTTGTTTCCAGTTTTTTCATTTGCATGAAATGTCATACTAGTGTAAACAAACTCAAGCACTTTGTTTTTACTAGTTATCATTTTCACCCCTTTGTTGAATAATTATTGTATGAAATTAGACTAAACAAACATTTTTTGGCCTTCTTGTCCTTCTTATAGTTTATATTACGTTTAACAAACAGGTAACATAATGGTGTACATAAATATTTCTTCATTGTTCCTGTATAAATGAAGATTGAATTACATACACGGATTACTGAAGGTTAGCTTTAACCATGAGGTTGCTTTCATCAGAAACTCCGGCCGCTGTCCAGATTTTCATCTCACCTTCAATCATCACCCAGTATAAATTCTAGTCTGCCAAACTACCTTATCTCAGATAGTCAAATGAGTACAAATTGTTTTTGTATACATAAAAGGGGGTTTGAATTTACGGATGGTAAGAACTTCAGTACATCCAAGCACTCAGCTCTGACCATTTTTATGGAGTATTTTTAAGGCTGTTTTCTCGTCTATCCAGCTGACGAGTCCCAAATAAGACGAAATGCTTATCCTGGATTCCACTTCTAGCCGCTATCCATCATTACTACCGTTAAAGCACCTGTAACATCGAGGCATCCGCACAGGATCCCATATGCCAATAGAGACCGATCAATTCGGTCCAATCAACGACGGTGTGATATTTAAAAAACTATGCTAAAAACTATACCCGTCTCACAAGAAGTGGCTATCGTGGTTCGGTGGTGTAGTGGATAACCTTCTGGAGTTTGAAGCGATCGCTCCCGAGTCCAAATCCTGTTGGGAACTGTATAACTCACTGGAAGGTAGGTACATCCAGCTGACGAGTCCCAAATAGAATGAAATGCGCATCCTGGATCCCACTGCTAGTCACTATCCATCATTACTATCCTATGGATAGGTTCTAGTATATCTCTAGCGATAGACGAAGATGAATGTTTATCACCTGCACTTATCGGATCTGTTGAGAACATTTTTTTTTGAGACCACTTAGGTACATGTTCAACCATCCATGACTGCATATCGCGATTACTCCTCCCTATGTATATGTGTACACACATCCATGTAAATTGATAAACACAGTGGAATGTGGTGAAATGTTTTGGTTCGTACTGTAACATGGACTTTGTCTTCGCTACAGTGATGACCTTGGCTGCATAATATGTTTCACAGATGACTGATCTAAGTCTTGTCCTCACAACAGAGCTATGTGAATCCCCTGTAAGTGGTAATGAGATGTAGAAATTTGTCTTACCTGCGGAATACTGTTTACTTTTCAATGGTACATAAATTTTGCACCTGTCAATAAATTTCAACGGGTAGTCATTCTGTATCAGTGTTTTCGTCAGTAAGTTGGTTTCTTCCTCCTTGGTGTCATCGGTGCAGATTCATTTTACCTTGCTAAATAAGCATCTAACTAAAACTAAGTGGCTTCAAAAACAGATGATCTCAATACATCCGAAAAGTGCAGGTGACAAGGATCCATCTTTGTCTATCGCCAAACATATATTAGAAACTATCCATAGGATAGACGAGAAAACAGCCTTAAAAATACTCCATAAAAATGGTCAGAGCTGAGTGCTTGGATGTACTGAAGTTCTTACCATCCGTAAATTCAAACCCCCTTTTATGTATACAAAAACAATTTGTACTCATTTGACTATCTGAGATAAGGTAGTTTGGCAGACTAGAATTTATACTGGGTGATGATTGAAGGTGAGATGAAAATCTGGACAGCGGCCGAATTTTTATCTCACCTACAATTATCACCCAGTATAAATTTGTACTCACGTTGAAACTACCTTGATAGTATTGATTTTAATTTTCATACCAAGAGTAACGTGATTAAGATTTTGCATTTTTTTTCTCTGCCCTTCCTATTCCCATTTTTCCTACTAACTTCATTGACTCTTTTCATAAATTTTCATAAGAATATTTTAACAAGTTCATGTGTTATCAGATTGTTCGAAATGTTTGACGCTAATACATCATATGTTTCAGATAATCTTGGTCTTCTGATTACTCTGTTTAAGATTACTTTTCGACAGCTACTATATGTGATATGGAGTACTGATAAACAGAAAACGGTTATGATTTCGGCTAATCAGGCATTCAAATGTTGTAGAACTTTCAGGCAGGAATATGATAAGATCATGAGTATTGATACAAGTGCAGAGAAGTGAAAACAAAAAATATGAAGGTATATGAATGAATTAAAAGATATTGGACGTGTGCTCAAAATACCCGGACAGCCATTGTCCTGGTTTGAAAAAAATACACTGAAACTAATTTAAAAGGTTGAAATAAATACTCTAAAGTACTTAGCTGGAAGTTATTTACCAACCGTAAGCAAGATACGCTGAATTTGATGCGAATCTTTATATATACATATATGATAAGTGGTTTGATGAGGATCCGTTTGTTTTAATTAATTTGTAGAGTTTACTGTTGGAGTAAATCACTACACCTTCATATTATTTTATCGACTTTTAAACTCACTCTTTCAAGAAATTAGTAGAAGTCTGGAGTATTCATCTGGGAATAATAAAAACTTCCCAGCCTTATTTTTGTGAGCTGACATCCCACTCAAGCCTAATTATCAGATAATTCGCATCAGTCTGGTGAAACATTTTACGATTTGACTAGAATGGAGTGAATTTGTAGTTTATATTGTTGTTTGTACTACCCGTGATTGATGAGACCGAAATGGCATATGTGCTCCTGTGTAGATGTCTGGATACGGCCTGTGATTTCAGTTTTATATGAATGATGGGTAGTGGGTAGGAGACCGATCATTTCAATCTAATCAATCCAGTTAACGATGGGATAATATAAGCAACAACATAAAAATTACACTTATCGTACAAAAAGAGGCTATCGTAACTCAGTCACTTTAATGTCTGAAGCGATCAATTCTGGATTCGAGTCCTCGTTGGAGCGAAACTACTCACTGAAAATCAGATACATCCAGCTGAAAAATCCTGGATATGATGAAATGTACATCCTGAATTTCACCGCTGGTTACTATTCATTAATAATAACAGTTGTTAATGAGTGTCTGAACTTTCAATAAATATTCAAACTGATTACCAATACAGGTCAATTTTACTTGTCTGTTATGCATCAAAACAAAATCGGAAGAATTATAATTACCACAGTGATTGACATCCTCTTGTTATCACCTATGGAATATCTTTAATGAATTAGACATCATCTAATGAAATCATGAATAAATTAACTGCTGTTTAGATGTATGTATATACATTCATTCATTGCATGTTTATAAAGCATATTCTTGAACGCAAAAGTAACTCTTTTGATTTGTTGAATTTTTTCTCTTTAGCCAACTTGACCTCCGGTGTGCCTACCATTTATATCATTATAGTCAGTCATTTCCATCAAAATATCCCTACAAACTACAGTATTTTGAAACAGTTTCATAATTTTTGTGAGGACCTAATAAATCAACCCAAATACCAGAAGATGAGGTAAGCTTTTATTAAATTAAAGTTTTTGATATTTAGGAAATGGTTCGTGTATGACTGTACGTGCTTCTCCTCTCTGTATTCAAAGATTCATACATAAAAACACGAAGATGTGAATAATTTCTGTCTTCTTTAGAAATGTTGTAAGTGTAAGGGTATGCACAATTTCTGGTTGTAACAGGATAGTGATTTAAAATTTATGAAGCTGAAAAGTCAAACTTTCAAGTGGTTCGTACAGATCAAAGTATTATTTTCAAGAACGCGGTTTAGTTACTGTACTTAGTGCAATATGAGAAAGTTTGCACTCGAAAGCGAGTTTTTAACTTCTTTATACTGACTAATTTTTAGCATCTATCACGAATATTTCAAACATATATATACAACAGTCAGCATGGAATCTCTTAAATTGACGCGATGAAAATGACAGTTTGCAATTCGTTAGTTATGGTAACAGTTTGTTCACTAAAATCTCATCATCGAATTCACATATTAAAATATTAATGGTATACACAAGTTGGTTGCTGTATTGTTACCAACAGTCCTGTCAAGCTACTTATGTCGAATGTGATTTGAAATTTGTTGACTCCGTTTGCAATACAGTCAATGAAGCAAGTGGCTTTACACTACAGTGAACCACGTTCGACATGAGATATCAAGACTTCTAGCAAATAACCCATTCACTTTATTCCTAGTAATATTCTTTTGAGGTAAACTACTGAAGTCGGTTTGTATATTAAAGCCCTAAAATAAAATCATTCGTCGTGTTCCTGCACTATATTACTGATGACGTTCAGATAAGTTGAATTCAGGTGCAATTCTTATACAGACTTTATCACTTTAATACCAGTTATAAGTAGTTTGTATAAAACTTGCCAAATGGTTTAAGTGTAGTGTGTTAACATTTTGTTTTGTTTTGTCTCATAAAAAAAGAACGCTGTCTACCTCGTTGGTGGCTGGGAACTAAACAAAATATAATGAGATACACAATGTGATTAATTACCAGTGCTTTAACATGTGTCAGTGTCTGTGTACCTAATAATCCAGTATCTAAGGCATACATCACGTACATATTTTCTGTAAGAAAACAAAAATCAATTATTTTTTGACTAACAAGATTGGCAGTCACTTTTGAAACCAACTGCAGGTTCAAATATTCGGTTAAAACAATGAGATAATATAGCCAGCAGTTTTTCGTATAAAATGAAGATGAAAATAAGCTGTAATACATGAATGTACTAAGTTACGAGTCATATTTGTTGAGGCAATTGTATATAGAGGTTTTCGGGGATTCATTTATTGATTTCAAATTAGTATTACTGTCTAATGGGAAGTCGTGACCCGTAGGCCATGAGGATATGTACTCAAACACGGTACTGGATGGAGGTAGCTGTGTATCATGACCTGATAGGTATAAGAAAATTCGTACCTTGGGACTCCGAACTGGTGGCTCGTCGGTGACATTTTAGCCCCAGAACCTAAAGGTTTTCACTTCCATTGCTAGAGGACAGGGCTTTAAGTGCGCACTTCTGAGGAGTCCTGTACTTGAACGAAATAGTTGTCTAGTGTCCACAGGTTTTTGAGGGTTCTTCAAATGTTATCATTCAGTGATAAATCTCAACTTGAGATCAATTCCTTCTGTAGCTGTTTGATATTTGTATTTTCTCGTTGCTGCGCAGGGCTGAAATGCTTGACCTCTTTTAAAAGATGAGCTCTAATGTGGATGTCTCTATACTGCCGGATATTCATCATGTTTCATTCACCTGGTGACTTGTAGTGGCATCCTATTTGCTATTCCCCAGCCGTACGTACTTGCATCCCAGTGCCTGGTATTGTCATCAGTGACACTCGAAACCAGCAAGCATCACTTCGAGCATCAAAGCAGTATACGCCAAGCCACTGGTGCACGACAGCCACCACTTGTGCTACTGGTATTATTTATTTTTATCTGATGACTGCAATTTCCCGTCTCCAAACTAAGTTGAAGTGCTCTGTTTGCACATCTGTAATCTACTGCATAGGTTTGTGAGAACCGTTTGACTTTTAGTCAGTCTTTATCACCGAGATTTCTCAAAATAAAGAAGCGTGTCAGGCTGTGTTGTGGCTACACTGCAACTTATATAAATTTTAGTGGATGTCTATCGCATAGCCTGCATATAAGAATACATAAAATGCAGCAGTGAAAGGTGTATCATTTAAGGAAATAGAAGTAGTTCTCTTTGTTGTAAACTTTAGGCTCGATTAAAGCTTTGATACAGAATATTCTACTTCTTGCTGGAAATAAATGTAGCCTTATTTCAAATCTAGGATGACCATCTCAGTAGCTTTCTCAGTTTGATTAAAACTAACTTAGGATCTAAAATAAGTGTTGAAAAGTATTTCGAAATATTCAGGTGAAAAGATTTCAGCTGGGTGGAATATGAAAAAAAGAAATTGTCAGAAACCGTGAAAAATAAAAAGACGATGGAAAGAAATTAAAGATAACCTACAACAGGTTTGAGACAATGAATAAAAATATTACAACTGAGTTTACATTAGCTACCGCAGTCAGTATTGAGTGATGTCGACAAGTCTCCAGTAATTTGTTTCTTTTACTTCATATTCTGTGCATGGTTGGAGAAAAGAGTCGAAGGATGCATATCTGTTGTTAGATATTGAATTCTGACAGTCCAAAAGGATCAGCTAAACATCATTTACAAAGTCAGCTGAGACAGTTTCGATCAATTTTGATACAAGTGATTGATAATGGACAACAGTGAAACCCATGATGAGCGTTTCGTCCTACTTAGGACTCTTCGGTGGACGTACCTGCCTTTTAGTGAGCTATGTTGTTCTGACCAGGACGCGAACCCGAGACCTACCACTTCAGGCGCCGTAGGGTTCCCCACGAGGCCGTCGAGTCACGATAGCTTCCTCTTGTGCGATGGGATAGTTTTTATGTTGTTACTCATATTATCCCATTGTTAACTGGACCGAATCGATCTGTCTCAATTGGCACATAACACACAGAAATGAACGCCTATCCAAACTAAGGTTTTGGATACATTTAAACCTTTCTATTTAAATTATTAGAACCTTTTCATCACAGGAGGACTTAATTGCTTCATCGTAAACTTACAGAAATCGGATAGCTTTTTGCCCTCACTCAGTTTTCAAGGGATTCTGTACAAGGTGATAGGAAACAAAAACATGACCTTATGTTTTACGACCTAAATTTATTTTGATTGAATCAGAGTTACAACAGTCAGTTTGACTATTTTATCAAGATAAGTAGAGATTTTGCTTGGTAGTACAATATTGAACTGACCTTGGTGATACATGTATATCCACAGATTATAAAGTGGAAATGTGTAATTATCAGAAATTCTTTCGAAATAAATACTGTTCCAGATGGATAAAAATATTATCTTAATTGTGACACAATACATCCTGTTGATAGGTAACCCAATTTTTTCCATGCTTGAAAAGTCGGTATGCAAACAGTATCTTTATCACAGTTGGTGGTCACCTTAATCACTTGCCTACTGTGAACAGATTCAGGCAAATTAAATGTTCAGAGAAATTTTGCTTTTCAGGATATTCACCTGTTCATCTTGCACTGAACAAAATGTTTAGTCATGCACACCAGTGAGAAAAATAAATGCATATATATATATATATAAAGAGGGAGAGAGATGAATGGAGATTTTAATTTAGCGGTAGAATTCACCACGGACTGAATAAGTCGGAGAGCCATTGAAAATATTGGAGCATCGGACACATAGTTCGTCTTAGCATGGGACTCCTCACCAGTACGCATCCAGAACCTGGGTAGAGATTGAACTCAGGACCTTCAGGTTTCACAATGAATGCGTTAACTATTCACTCAAGATCTTCAGTTAACATCCGCTTTCTCCTGACTGGTTGAGCCTACAGGTCATGGCTTCTCATTAGAACTTCGTAATATCTATCTGGAAGCATGTAAGTAAACGAGCACTATACAACAGTGTATTTTCGATGCTTTCGGCGTAAAACCTGAAGGTCTTCAGTCCGATCCGTAGCCGAATCATTGGTGCGTATTGATGAGGAGTCCTACACTACGATGAAACAGCTGTTCAGTGCTCCCAGGCTTTCAATGGTTCTCCAACTGATGTCAGTCCGTGATGAATACTACGTATATATATACATAGTTTATGAGAGATTTTCGACTCTTTGCATTTATTTTGAAGAAAATGCTGTTAGCAACTGGCAAATATTATTGTTAGGGTGGTATTCATCACCAACTGACCTCAGTTGAAGAACCACTGAAAACCCGGCAGCACTGGGCAACTGTCTTGCCAAAATGTGAGACTCCCAAACAGATGTGATGGAATATTGTCACCTGTGGGGTCTATCAGTTGGAAATGAATAGGATGTTAAATGAAGACTTTGGGTAACAGTCGCACTATGTCACGAATAGACAGAAGTAGAAAACTATGGACCATCGAATTTCGATCCAACGGCTGAATGACTGATGTATTTACCGTGAAACCTGGAAGTCCTGATTTTGGTTGCTAGCCGGGTCGTGGGTACGTACTACTGGGGAGTCACTCACTAGGATGAAACAGATTTACGTCGCTCCAGGGTTTTCAATGGATCGCTAACTGATATCATTCCATACAGAATGAATTCTACCGTTCATTTTGGAATGTTATCACCAAGCTGGGAGACTTAACATCCCTATACATTTTATAAGGTGTAATTTGGGTGGAAGCAACTGGTAAGAAACCCTGAACTTAGATTTATTGCCTATCTGTAACCTGATTTGCGGCTTATCCCTTTCTACATACTCGATTCTCTTCTCAGCTGATAACAGATGGTTTGCTGATGGTTTCTAGCATCTAGTTGGGGGTCTTATGATGCCATTTAAACATTCTGTTATGGTGGATATTATATCGAAATGTATTTCATCTTGGTCATATGGAATTATCGGTGGCGAGTAGAAAGTGTGTTCCATCAGAACTGAAACTCACCACTTATTTGTGTCTGGATTGCAGGGAGTTGTAGCGTTCCTACAGACAACCAGACTCAAAGACACGGTATCAAACTCCAGAGTATCAGTTATCAAGCTACGTTTTACTTAAGTTACTTTTTTCCCTAAATGTGGTGACTATTAGTTAGATAGTGCATTCATAAGTATTTGTACAGCTTCTGGGGCACCTAATATGATAGTGGGTTTAAGATTGTTTAGACATGCTGTTACTTTTTGTGATACCCATCTGACTGATGAGTTTCAGATTGCGTGAAACATACATTTTGGGTGCGATTGCTGGCTACCAAAAAAAAGGTCGTCAGTATGAAACCATTTTGTTTTGATAACAAGACATGAAGAAGTGGTTTACCAACTTCCGACTACTTCCGAGTCATAATGATGGTTTTTGTACACTTGGTGCTTTGCAGACATGACTTATGAGTGAGACTTCGTGAAATAAGCTGTGCTTGATTTTATACTTTCCCTTAAATTTCAGAAATTAACATGTATGAATTATACAGTGTGTATTATAAATATATATAAAACAACTATCATTTTATTCGATCGCCTACTCTGAGTAACTAATATTCTTTCAGTGTTATCAGTCGACATAAAAAAATAAATTGTTTGTGAACTGTCCACTAAATTCAGCAATAGTGAAATAGAGAGTCTAAGTAACGAAACCGTTTACTAAATTAAGTATTGGATCAGTGATCTGAACATTTATGGATAACATAATAAAACTTCACAAAAACATTCATGGATCAACAGCTGACTGCGAGATTTGGTTAGAAACTGTGTATTTCCTGTCACAGTTGCATAGGATGCATTAAAGAAGGTAGAACTCTTGAACTCAGTAAAATAGTCAATAGCATTTACTCGGTAACTTCCTATTAATAATCTGCGTATATTTGTAAGCCAGAAATTAGCATATTAACAATTTTGTGGAAAGAATTCTTCGAATTTATGTTTATTACTTTATTTTTCAGTGATACAAAGAGGAAACAATATCGAAAATCCACAGATGCATTCGTGGAACAAAAGATACCGCTTGACGATGAAAAAGACCTAAATTCACCTAGTTATATTCCTATCCACAAAATTCTAGAAGTGTTTCCAAAATTTCATGATCTCATTTTGGATAATATACCTAAAGTGAGTAGTTATTGATTCATTTAATTAGTAATGACTACTGTTTATATATATATATGGAGATTAGTGTTGTTTTTACAGGAAGTGTGTAATGGGCATTATTTGGTTCCCTGGTTATTGGTAACCGGCTTTCTAATAACTGCTAATTAAATACAGTGTATTTGATCTTTAATTACTCTGAATGCAAACGAAAACAAAGTTTGAAACAATTAATCCCTTTATATTACGCCAAAACAAAGTTACCTACATTTAACCGGATAGAATGATCAGGCTGCTGAAAACTGTTTCTTAAGTATGAATAATAAATTACTGATAAAAAATTCATTTGATGCTTAAAAACGGAACACGACTGGTAGATGAATTTATCTTTTTGGTTGTATTCACCGTAAGGTTAAAAATGGCCAGTGTACGGAAGACAAAAAACCTTTTTCTGAAGTTCTATATACTGAGAAAATCTATTTGTATTTGTGCCCCTATAACTGAAGGCTAGATAATTCTTCACTATTAATCGAAGTTTCTTTCACAAGGTAGAAAACAGTCAACATAAAATACTCATTTTTCAGAACCCTGTTTACTAGCATTTATTCAAGCTAATTTATCCAATGTCGATATGGCTATCAATGGTGGTAATGTTGATTAGTGTGGTTTGTAGGTGAAAAAGTAAAAACAAAAAGTGTATCTATTGACTTCAGTAACATTCGTAGAATAGTTACAAGAATATTGTATGGATTAAAGTAGAATTTTAAAAAGCGAAGCAGAAAGATGTAGCAAATGCAGTACATCTACGCAATGAGAAACTTTCTAATAAAGATGGTGCTAAATAATCATGCTGTGAATCAGAACGTCCATAAACACTCTTTTGAGATGCAGAGATGAAATTACGCACTGCGTAAATCTATTGGGTACCATAGGCAGTTTTATCATGAAAAAACGTTTTCTCTCCCACCTCCCTGTAGGTTCTGGGATTCAAATGTTTACCAAAGATGGGATTCGGCTATATGTTGTTAAAGGCAAATATTGTTAGGAAAACTGTGACTCGACAGTTTTGAAACGGATTAACTAGATGAATATATGGCAGCGTATCTGTCCAGAAAATAAATGGCATACGGTCATCTAAAAGGAACAGACAGTCGTTATCTTGCATGCGAAAAAAGCGATCACACTGATCTGACGGAATTTTCGCTGATGACTTTCGAAAGGGTTCAATAATCAGCTAATAGTATGAATAGAACACTGAATAATATGTTACTGCTCAATGGCTTACTGAGATAGTTATAGACTGTCTAGTTAAATGAAGTTAGGTTCCAGTCATGGAATTATTTTTGAAGCCCCAAGTTATAGATCTTACTTATTTACTTGATACTTGTTTATAAACTTTAGAAAGGCATACAGCCATAAACAATATTTCTAGTTGGTATTAGTCATCAGAAACTTGGCGTTTCACGAAAAGCATTTCAAACAAAACACAAACATTCATCAACAGCTGCCGCCTATGCTCACTGGATACTGAAGATCAGTTGGCCAGAATAATAGAATAGGCAAGGAGGAACTCACTCTGGCCTGCCGATGAACCAGCCAAGAAGTTGTCAGCCAACAAATATGCAGAAGAAAGTGGTGATGGATTAGACTGGAATGGACATACAGTGAGAATATCGATTGAGGAAATCATGCACCAGGACAGGCCCTCAAGAGGAATCAGAAGAAGAAACGATGAGTTGGGCGTCCGAGGCGAGGATGACATGTAGGAGATGATGTGAGGAAGAAATGAAAGCTGTGGGCAGTTGTGGAATCGAGATGCGCTACTGAAGTCGTATGTTCCACTAGGAACCCAAATGACAAATAATAATATAATATAATAGTGGAATGGCATAATTTGGGAAACAACAGCTGTCTCGTCCTCTCATGGAATTTTTCAGCAGTTGTAGCACACGAGGTTCTGAAGTTCTGCTGAAACGTTATGGCAAGGTAGGCAAACTAAGTCGAACATGAGAACGGTTACTCAAAGACGGCATTAAGTGGGGATTACGCCGTGCCACTGACAGACTAAAGAAGGAACCCGAAGGTCTTGCATTCAATCCCTAGAGGGTGCTGCGTACAGGCTGCTGAGGAGTCTGAGGCTGGGACGAAACAATTCTTCATGGTTCTCCAACTGACATTAATCGGTGGTAAATGTCAACTTGAATTCAGCAAATGTATCCTCAGGAACCCCGAAATTGAGTAAAAAAATTGTTATTAAATTCGGAAATAACCACTTTTATAAGAGGATAAAATCTAATTACTGAAACTTTTTTAAACTGTCTCACTAATTAATTAAGTCAATTTTTTCCTTATCTCGATCAGACCGTTGGAAGTAAATTTGATTAATTCAGAATAGCAGAAGACAATGGGAGCCACATATTTTCCCCAGTCTTTATTGTTTAGTTAGAATCGAAGCGTTGGGATTGGTCAGAATGTTTTAATCCGTATAATTCTAGGCTTCAGGAGTTGTATGTAGATAGCATTTATAGATATTTTTATGAGCACACAGACATGCATTTGAATACTAACAAACTTATGAAGGGTTTCGGACCATCTTAATCAACCTCATTTGTCGAATTGTATACGTAAATATGTGAAGGCTGCTGACTTTCTGCAAAATGCATTTTTTTTATGACTTTTTCTGAAAATGTTGACGTTTCCTCAACAATACTGTAATCTTATGATGTTTTATTTTAACTAACCTCTTATTAATTTATTACTGTTTAAAATAATAGTAGTATCAGAATGAAGTAACAAAGGTGAATAGGTGACAAATTATTAAGGCATTCTTGATAAGTATTTGACTCGACTAGTCGAAGAAATTCCAATGGCTCATCATTGTGATGAATTTTTAAAAAATAACAGTAGTATAAGACTAAAAATAAATCTAATGACCATAAACTTTATGATGTGGTAAGTGCTGTCATAATTCTATTTATCTTGTTCATAGGATCACAATTTTCGCACAGGTTAGTAATCACTCAACATTATAACCTAGAATTATTTGCCATCACGGTTTGTATTTTTTCACAACATGTGATTATTTAAATAACCACTGAAAATGTCAAAGTATTTGAAAGCGGTTTTCATCTTTTGAAATTTCCAGCAGCTTGCAAACAAATCAACTTAGAGCACTCGTTCCTAAACAACACACTTTGATTTTCAAGAAGTTGTCTTACGGCGTAAATTTTCTATAAAACAAGCTATTACAGCAGTTAGTAGGGTATCTAAACCACAGTAACCACTTCACACAATTTTTCAACTTATGGATGATGTCGACTAATCCGCTATTTGATACTCAAGTCAACTGAACAGTCACTTTGAGCTGATTTAGCGTTTCCCTAAAGTTTGCATCATCAACCACATCGTAAGAACCTCCTGGAGACCATGCAAATAATACATCATGATATCTACATTTAAGCTCTAGCGATTAGTCTTGTCTTGTTTAAATGTGCACTGGTGGATGACATACAGGCAGGGATTATTTTCATTGCAAGCAACCTCAGTTAGTGGGTAATTTTATAGAAGGGAGTTTCTTGTTACTGGTTCAACCAAAATGCTCTCATTGGTCTATCACATTGTCGAATGTCATTATATAAGTTTTAGCTGAGTGTATCATGAGAAATAATTTTTAAAAAGCTCTGGCACATACTGATAAAATTAAAATTACAATTTACTCATTTTACCTTACTTTATAACTTCTAAGTACTCATCCTTCCTTTAAACTGAGGGCAATGGACAGCTGTTTCCTTCAAGTATACGATCCTCAGCAGTACCTGGTGAATACAACCCTAAGAATCAAATATCCACTCACCTCAAACTACATCACTCATATAAATATGAGTTATTTACTCTTTGTCTATACATTCACACTGTTTTTGTTTGGTAATTAAGAGATGAATAGATAGGAGAACTAAGTGATAGGTGATTTTCAGTTTTCTACCACAGCAAAGCAGTTTTGGGCATAATTGTACAATGTTTTACGCAAAATGCTTTTGCACTGTCAGGAATGGTAAATACATCGTCGTCTGGAAACAAGATTCATGTATACAAGGTTTAATGAAACGCGTAATTTCACTGCAACTCATCGTAGTCCATATATGAACTCTAGAAAAGAATTTGTTGACTTTAAATGACAACATTTTCTCAAGAACTAAAGCGTATTTTTTCACTCAGAAACACAAGGAAGTGAATTTAATATTTTGATATTGTCTACAAGATAAATATTTAAAATCTTATTCCAAAGCGTAAGTCAAGTTATGAAATATGAAAATAAGTGATAGGCAGATGGCAACTAAAAGTTTTCAAAGGAGAGCTGTTAGCATTGTTAACAATCCAAAAAGAATGTGTTTATTTATTTTACTACGTCAACGACCTATACACGCTAAAATAATAACTATTTCTGTTACTGAAAGCAAAATAAATCAAAATGTTTGGGTAAACTACGACTGAACTAGCAAATACTTCATAGTAAAATCTGTTTGTAATTGGAGAAGTTACCTAGTGTTGTGTCCTCTTACAGTTATTGAAGAGAAACATTTGGTGGAGGTTAAGAAAACTAGTCTCCATATCGCATTTCTTTATTGTTTTACCTCCTTACGCCTATCCGTCTTATTACAACCTCTTATGACAAATGATTAAACCCTTTTCGTTATATTTAATCTCTCTGCATTGGTATCTTGTTGCACTGCTCTAAGGTAAGGGTTTTGAACTGTCATGCAATCATATCAAGTTCTATATTGATATCGGCTTACTAAACAACCGGCTTAGGAAAGCAATAAGAGAATTTAAACATAAATATAAAACAGTCAACAAATCCGAATATCTGAATAGCTGTACTGTTATCACATACACACATATACACTATGAACAATAAACCATCTAAGATGGTTCCCTTAAAACGCTACCACTCAATAAATTTTTATCACACTGTGACAGTACAACTTTAGCTAACAACCTATCTTAGAACACATTATATACTGTAG